TTCTTTATAGATCCTAGATATCAGCAACAAAGAGGCAACCCACAGAATGGGAGAAGATATTTGCAAATGTTGGTGGTATTTTGATAGAGATTGCTTTAAATGTGTAGTTTTCTTTGGATAGTATAGACATTTTAATATTTGTCCTTTCAATCCATGAACATGGAATGTTTTTCCATTTCTTTGTGTCATCTTCAATTTCTTTCATAAGTGTTCTGTAGTTTTCAGAGTACAAAACTTGTACATCTTTGGTTTGTGAATCAACATGATATACCACATTAAGAAATGAAAGGATAAGAACCATATGATCATTTTTTTTAAAAGTTTGTTTGTTTGTTTGTTTGTTTGTTTATTTGACAGACAGAGATCACAAGTAGGCAGAGAGGCAGGCAGAGAGAGGAGGAAGCAGGCTCCCCGCTGAGCAGAGAGCCCGATGTGGGACTCGATCCCACTGGGATCATGACCGGAGCCAAACGCAGAGGCTTTAACCCACTGAGCCACACAGGCGCCCCCATATGACCTTCTTAATGCAAAAAAACCATTTGACACAATATAGCATCGATTCTTGAAAACCCCAACAAAGCAGAGAGAGAGGGAACATACCTCAGTATCATAAAAGCCATATACAAAACCCACAGCTAATATTTTCTTCAGTGAGGAAGAACGGAGAGCTTTTCCTCTGTGATCAGGAACAAGAACGGGATGTCTCACCATTGTTATTTAACATAGTATGGGAAGTCCTGGCTTCCTAAGACAGCAAACAAGAAGAAATAAAAGGCCTCCAAATAGGCAAGGAAGAAGTTAAACTTTCCCTATTTGCAGATGATACTGTATATAGAAAACCTGAAAGACTCCACCAAACAGTTGCTAGAACTGATACATGAATTCAGTAATGTCACAGGATATAAAATCAGTGTACAGAAATCTGTTGCATTCCTATATACTAATAATGAAACAACAGAAGTAGAAATCAAGGAATTGTCCTTTTCACTATTGCACCAAAAACAGCAAGATACATAGGAATAAACCTAACAGAAGAGGTAAAAGATGTGTATTTTGTTATATATATTTTAGAAATAACCCAGTCATGTCCAAGAAGAATAGGATTTTAAAAAAATTTGGAAAGTGGGAGGGCATAACAAGAGAGAAAAATGTAATTTTTACCAGATTATTAATTTCTCCAGCATTAATTTTAATTAATTTTAATTCCTAATACTTAACCTGATCTTCCCTCAGATACTGTTCTTATTTTTGCTTGCTTATTGAGGGACACTTTGCCTCCTCAATTCAAATGAACAAACCCTTCTTGTATATACCAGTTGGAGAAAGAACCAAAGAACTTAAGATACATCTGTTAATAATTCCAGATTTTTGTTTCTGTAGATCTTATTACATTAACAAACTATTCTTACTTAATTATTGAAAACTTGTTCTGTCTAATCTGGCACATTTCTTCTTGGTAATGGTGCAGCATATCACCACCTTTATACAGATTGCAGTCTTGGTATATTTGGATTGCCAAGGTCATAGTGTGATCTTTTTCTTTTTAATGTTATGTACATTATTAGGCTTTGATGTAGTGTTCCATGATTCATTGTTTGCATATAATACCCAGTGCTCCATGCAATACATGCCCCTCTTAATACCCATCACCTGACTAACCCATCCCCAACACCCCCTTACCTCTAAAACCCTCAGTTTGTTTCCCAGAGTACGTAGTCTCTCATGGTTTATCTCGCCTTCTGATTCCCACCCCCCACCCTTCATTTTCCCCTTCCTTCTCCTAATGTCCTCCATGCTATTTCTTATGTTCCATGAATAAGTAAAACCATGATAACTGACTTTCCTATTTGACTTATTTCACTTAGCATAATCTCTTCCAGTTCCATCCATGTTGATGCAAAATTTGGGCATTTATCTTTTCTGATGGCTACATACTATTCCATTGTATACATGGACCACATCTTCTTTATCCATTCATCTGTTGAAGGGCATCCTGGCTCCTTCCACAGTTTGACTATTGTGGACATTGCTTCTATGAATATTGGGGTGCATGTTCTCTTTCTTTACACTGCATCTGTGTTTTTGGAATAAGTACCTAGTAGTGCAATTGCTGAGTCATAGGGTAGCTCTATTTTTAAAATCTTGAGGAACCTCCATATCGTTTTCCAAAGTGGCTATACCAGCTTGCATTCCCACCAACAGTGTAAGAGGGTTCTCCTTTCTCCACAACCTCTCTAACATTTTTTGTTTTTTTGCCTTGTCAATTGTTACCCTTCTGATTGATGTAAGGTGGTATCTCAATGTGTTTTATTTTATTTTATTTTATTTTTTCAGTGTTCCAAGATTCATTGTTTATGTACCACACCCAATGCTCCATGAAATATGAGCTCTACTTAATACCCACCACCAGGCTCACCCACTCCACAACCCCCCTTCCCTCTAAAACCCTCAGTTTGTTTCCCAGAGTCCATAGTCTCTCCCGGTTTGTCTCCCCTCCGATTACCTCCAGTTCACTTCTCCTTTCCTTCTCCTAATGTCCTACATGTTATTCCTTACGTTCCACAAGTAAGTGAAACCATATTATAATTGACTTTCTCTGCTTCACTTATTTCACTCAGCATAATCTCCTCCAGTCCCATCCATGTTGATACAAAAGTTAGGTATTCATCCTTTCTGATGGAGGCATAATAATCCATTATATATATGAACCCTGTCTTCTTTAACCATTCATTTGCTGAAGGACATCTTGGCTCTTTCCACAGTTTGGCAATTGTAGCCATTGCTGCTATGAACATTGCGGTACAGATGGCCCTTCTTTTCATTACATCTGTATCTTTGGAGTAAATATGCAGTAGTGCAATCACAGGGTCATAGGGAAGCTCTATTTTTAATTTCTTAAGGAATCGCCACACTGTTTTCCAAAGTGGCTGCACCAACTTGCATTCCCACCAACAGTGTAAGAGGATTCTCTTTCTCCACATCCTCTCCAACAACTGTTGTTTCTTGTCTTGTTAATTTTGGCCATTTTAACTAGTGTAAGGTGATATCTCAATGTGGTTTTGATTTGAATCTGCCTGATGGTTAATGATGATGAACCATTTTTTCATGTGTCTGTTAGTCATTTGTATGTCTTCATTGGAGAAGTGTCTGTTCATGTCTCATGCCCATTTTTTTTTTTTTTTGATGTGATTATCTGTCTTGTGTGTATTGAGTTTGCAGTGTTCTTTATAGATCTTGGATATCAGCCCTTTGTCTGTGGCACCTTTTGCAAATATCTTCTCCCATTCCGTGGGTTGCCTCTTTGTTTTGTTGACTGTTTCCTTTGCTATGCAGAAGCTTTTTCTCTTTATGAAGTCCCAAAAGTTCATTTTCACTTTTGTTTCCATTGCCTTTGGAGACATGTCTTGAGAGAAGTTGCTATGGCCGATGTTGAAGAGGTTACTGCTTATGTTCTCCTCTAGGATTTTGAGAGATTTCTGCCTGATGTTCAGGTCTTTTATCCATTTCGAGTTTATCTTTGTGTATGGTGTAAGAGAATGGTCAAGTTTCATTCTTCTATATATAGCCGTCTAAATTTTCCCAGCACCATTTATTGAAGAGAACTCACAGCAATTCAGTAATTTGGCAGGATACAAAATCAATGCACATAAATCATGTTGCCTGATTTCAAGCTACATTACAATGTTGTGATCACCAAGACAGCATGGTATTGGCACAAAAACAGACACATAGATCAATGGAACAGAATAGAGAACCCAGATATGGACCCTCAAACCTATGGTCAACTAATCTTTGACAAAGCAGGAAAAATATCCCATGGAAAAAAGACAGACTCTTCAATAAATGGTACTGGGAAAACTGGACAGCTATATACAAAAGAATGAAACTCAACCATTTGCTTACAAAGATAAACTCTAAATGGATGAAAGACCTCAGTGTGAGACAGGAATCCCTCACAGTCCTAGAGGAGAATATAGGCAGTAACCTCTTCTACATCACTACAGCAACTTCTTTCACAGTGTGATCTTTACAATTTATTAACTCAGCATTTTTCCAAAGTCTTCCACATCTGGGTGACTATTTTGTAACATGTTTCCAAATTTAGGTATGTGCTGTTAGAAACAACTTGACCACAAAACTTTTAGAGCCAGTGGTTTACCTTAGGTGAGCATTTCTTTTTCAGTATAAACTCTCCTTCAACCATGTTCATATATTTTTCCTATAATGGGATCTGGCTGAAAATTTTAAATCAGGTAAAAATTTCAAATCACATAAAAACTCAAATGAAATGAGACCAAATCTCAATCATAGTACTTCAACAAGCTTAACCATTTCCTCCTCCGAAGATACAATGTCTGCATGACAAAGAGACCTGGGAAAGCACTCATTTTTCTCAATCCACAAAATGTCTTGCTATTCTTTCCCATTTACTGATACCTGTTTTTTGTTTTTGTTTTTGTTTTTGTTTTTTACAACTAAATAGCATAAAAATGGCATAAAATATTCTTGGACTAGTCAAAGAATTTCTGCTCCCTGGTAATTTTCTGTGGCAATGGAGACCATGATTTGCAATGTAACCTGTGGGGGAAAAAAACTTCATGTTCCACATCACTAAGTATAGCCTTACAGTATGATTATGATTTTAATGTAAACTCAAAAGTTGTATTATTATCATAAACTTTCCAGGATATTTTAATTTAGCATAAGACATAGCATTGTATGCAAGAAGCACTGGTTAAAGGATTATGAGATGTGAGTTTGTGCATCAGTTTTTATCATTATCTTGACATAAACAGTCTTGATCAAACCATTAACATCTCTAAGCCTCAATATATGGAGGTTAAATGATTGCTAATATCCAATAATAAAGTTTGCTGATTCTGCAATACAAATATTTTGTTAGGATGCTTATCAATTAATAACAAGGCTGACTAAATTAGTGCTGCATACACACATTAGGTTACCTTATGAAGGAGTATTTTCATATTTTTTTTCTATAGAAACTAATATAGAACACTTGAAAGGTGTTAATGGAACACATATATTGCTGAAGGAAATGAAGATACAATCAAAGAATCTCCCTGGTAAGAAAAAGAGTTTTGCAAATCTAATATTTCTGGTTTGTTTACCTTCTTTGGGGTGTAATGAAGATTGGGTCTAAATGACAAGAGTAGCTATATGTTTTTATAGGTAAAATCGTCATGAATATTCTCATAATTCATTATATTCTGGTATTTACTAGAAATAAAAATCTAGCTAGATATGAGTTTTAGAACTCATTCTTTTAGAAATTAAACTGTAAAAAATTAAATGCTATAGTGACTTTTTTTTTCTAAGGTTTTTATTTATTTATTTGACAGACAGAGATCACAAGTAGGCAGAGAGGCAGGCAGAGAGAGAGGAGGAAGCAGGCTCCCCACTGAGCAGAGAGCCTGATGTGGGGCTCGATCCCAGGACCCAGGGATCATGACCTTAGCTGAAGGCAGAGGCTTTAACCCACTGAGCCACCCAGGTGCCCCTATAGTGACTTTTGAATATGGTTGGTGAAAGTATGTCTAATGCTATTCTATTCGCTTTCTATTTCTGGCTTGGAGAGAACATTCTTTCAATTTGCTAAAGGAGAAAGGCTAATTCATGAATATAATAGTAACGAGGAATTTAGGATAGCTGATTCATTGGTTATAATTTCCTTCTATTTGATGGAAATACCAGGTATATTATGATATCTCAGCTGTAGTAGAGTACATTAGTTGTGTTATATAGTTTAGAGATTATACTGCTGCCTTTAATAGTGTAAAAGTGATAGACACACTGCCTATTGAATTCTAGTGTGATTCCAAAGAGGCAAAAAGCTTAACGGATATATAAAGGAAAGGTATAAAGACAACCAAGTTAAAAACACTGCCATCCAAAGGTGACTATGGGCATGTCCAAGGACTTTACCCCTCAGAAATAAGTATAATGGGAAAGGTATTATTTTGATAAGAACAATATGGAAATCCACCAGTTGAAAAATACAGTAACTGAAATTTTAAAATTCACTAGAAGTTCTCAGTAGATTTATACTATCAGAAGAAAGAATGAACAAACTTGAAGTACTGAAATACTGCAATGAGAGCAGAAAAATTAGAGCAGATAATATGATTTAAAATAATTGCTGAAAGAGAATGAGATGTTATAAATAAAATGAGTAATATACCAAACACTACCTATACATATTTGCTTTTCTTTCAGTTTCTCTATAGGGCACAAACTTTCATAATGAAACAATTATAGTTAATGAATATATATATATATATATATATATATTTATTTATTTAAAGAGAGCAGATCTTCAGAATACTATACAAAATTCTATATCCAAAATATGATGTAACATTTCTAAGTCCCACTTGGAATTTGATGAGTATAAATTTTCAGTATATTCTGTATTTGTGGTGACTGTTACACATTTCTATGAACATATTAATAACGACTGCTTAAATATTTATAATGGGCAAATTGTACACTATATGTATAATATGCTATATTAAAAAAATAACTCTGAGAACTCCAAGCAATATAGGATATTTTTAAAAGACTTAAAGCAATGGGAGGATATTGTGAAGGAGGAAAGTTGTGACTCAACCTATATTAAACACATACCTTATATGCTCCTAGTACTTAACCCAATCTACACTCAAGTGCTATTGCCATTGCCTCCCCCATTATATAAGAATCCCTTGCTTTCTCAATTCACGTGACTCAGTTCTTCTAATTATATCTGTTGGAGAAAAACCAGAAGGCTAGAACATGTCTGCTAATGTTTTCCACTTATGTGTTGCTATAGCTCATATTACTTTCATAAATGTCATTACATAATTATTTTTTATTAACATTTGATTTGATTTGATTTGTTTCAGGGCTACAGGTCTGTAAATCATCAGTCTCACAGTTCACAGCATTAACCATGGCACATACCCTCTCCAGTGTCCATCACCCAGCCACCCCATCCTTCCCATTCCCCTCCCTCAGCAACCCTCAGCCTATTTCCCAAGATTAAGAATCTCAGTTTGCCTCCCTTCCCAGTACCATCTTGTTTCATTTTCCTCCTTTTTCCCATGACCCCCCACCCTGCCTCTCAAATTCCTCATCTCAGAGAGATCATATGATAATTGTCTTTCTCTGATTGACTTATTGACTTATACCCTCTAGTTCCATCCACGTTGTTGCAAATTGCAAGACTTCAGTTTTTGATGGCTGCATACTATGCCATTGTGTATATATACACATCTTCTTTATTCTTTCATCTGTTGATGGACATCTAGCCTCTTTCCATAGTTTGTCTATTGTTACTTTACCCAATAGGTAACCCAGAGTCACTAATTCTAGTCATTTCTTTTGCAATGTGAAATTCTTTTAGATGACTTTCTTTCTATTTTTTTTCTGTCATTAGAACTACACAGTAGTTTCCACATCCAGAATAAGGTTAAAAATCATGTAAAGACTCAAATACAAAAGGATGCAATAATGCCAATACTCACATTATTGCATATTACCCATTTCCTCCTCCCCAGCTAGAAGGTGTACATGTTAAGATGACCTTGAGAGAGCACTTTATCTCATTCTGTGTATTATTTGTTATTCTTTTCCATCACTAATGTCTACTTGATTTAAAGTGACATAACCTAATACTCCTGGACAAGTCAAAGAATTTCTGCCTCACAGTAATATCTGTGACTCCACTAACCATAGTTTGTAAACTGACCTGGGAAAAAACTGTTAAGTCCTCCCTCACCAGGTATATCCCTACCATGTGAATGTGTTTTTTAAATGTACATGGAAGTCATACTATTAAGTTAAATGCTTTGAGATGATTTAAATTTGCAAAACACTGTATGTTTTCTGGTTAAAGCCCTAGAAAAAACAACAGTCTGTGTATCAATTTGGTCATTACCCAGATATGTGACCTTTGTCAAATCACTAAACATCTCTAGGCTTCAGTATAATGAGGTTTACCTGTTTACTAACAGCTCTTCAGATTGTAAGTTATTATGTTTCTACAACCCAGACATTTCATTTCAATTCTCCTCCTATAATAAGAAATGTCAAATAGAAGGACACTAGACACACAAACACACATGTGTTAACATTTGCCTTACAAAAGTGTTTTGAAACTGTTTATTTCTATAGAGATTGATGCAGAGCCCCTCCCAGGGGCTATGGGAAGAGGTATGCTAAAGAAGGAGATCAAGACACAGTCAAAGAGTCATACTGGTAAGAACAAAACTATTTCAAGTTTATTTAAGGGTTATTTATTTCTTTTGGAGTTTAAACTTGGATCTTTAAAGACTATAGAATCTATGTGCTATTATTACATTTTAAAACATCTTTATAAAGTCCCTTCTATAATTAGTTAGTGGAATTCTAGCAGTTACTATAACTGGACAATTGGCCACCTATTACAGGTTTTAAAACCCATCCATTAAAATGTGATCCTCAAAAAACCTGATACGAAATTGAGCTTGGAATATGCTTGATGGAAGCATTTCAAAAGCTGCTCTACTCCCTTTCTTTTTTCAGGCTACATAGGATAGTTGCTTTGTATTTGCAAAGCAGAAATTCTAGCTTATGAAATGGATAAGTAGAGGAATTTAGAAGATAGTTATTTCATTAGTTACTAATTCTCTCTGTATGATTGAAATATCAAACAAATTTATATCTCTGGTGAAGTAGAAATCTTTAGTTTTGTCATATAGTTCATAGTTTATACTACTACCTCTTGTCCTGGCAGAAGAGGGTGTTGTGAAGGAGTAGACGTTTTTTCTATTATGTTCAGTTAGCCACTGTATAGCACATCATTGGTTTTTGATGTAGAGTTCAATGATTCGTTAGTTGCATATAAGACTCAGTGCTCATCACAACACATGCTCTTCTTAATACTCATCACCTTGTTTTATACCCTTATCCCCTCCTGCTCTCCTCTAAAACCCTCAGTTTGTTTCCAGAGCCCATAGTCTCTCATGGTTTGTCTCCCTCTCTGATATCTTCCCCTTCAGATTTCCCTCCTTTCCTCTATGATCCTCCATGATACTGCTTATGTTCCACATATGAGTGAAACCATATGATAATTGTCTTTCTCTGATTGACTTACTACACTTAACATAATCCCCTCCAGTTCCATCCATGTTGATGCGAATGGTAGGTATTCATCCTTTCCGATGGCTGAAAAATATTCCATTATATATATGTACCACATTTTCTTTATCCATTTATCTGTTGAAGGGCATCTCAAAAACCGATTCTTAACTAGACTATAAATTTCTCTAGGACATACCTTTCCCCCTCAGTTTTTAATCCTATCTGCTGTGAAATGTTCTCGATATCTCCTTGCTTATTTAAGAATCTCCTCACACTCATTCCAAATGAACCATTCAGTCTTACTTATGCCAATTGCAGACACAACCAGAGAGCCTCAAATATATCTTCTAACAACCCCACTTTGCATTTCTCTATATCATTTTGCTTTAACAAAATGTCATTATGTGCTTATTGCAACCTTATTTTTTGTGGTTCTTTTTGGTGAGATACCCAGGCTGGTTCCCACCTCTTCTTAGGTTGTGGTGAATATATATTTGGGGTCCAAAAGTCATAGTACAACCTTTAACAGTTATTCATAATCTCAGCGAGTACAACAAAGCAAGATCCACCTTATGGATTCAGGTTCATGACAGGTTTCCAGTCTCTAATACACACTCTCCAATAACAACTTTGATTCACAAAACATTAGTTTCATTATTTGGCCCAAGTCACCAATCCTAATTATCTTCTTTTTGATTTGATGTAAATTCCTTTTTAATATCTTTCATGTGTTTTTCCTCTTTTTTGACCTCATTAATAGTTTCTAAATCCAGCAAATGTTAAAATCACATAAAAAATAAAATGGTATGCAATCACAATACTGGTACTACGGCAAATTCATTCATATTCCTTTTCCCAACTACAAGGGAACTGATAAACACTTTCTTTTTAGACCACAGTATATCTTACTAGATTCTACATCAATGATGCCTACTTGATTTACATATAACCTTAAAATAGCATAAAGTAGTCGAGAGAATCAAAATTTCTGCCTCATAGTAACTTTTCCTGATGTGGGACTATGGTTTATAACTTGAACTATGAACAAAAATGTTATGTTTCATCTCAGTTGTATATCCTACAGTATGAATATTCTTTTAGCATAAATTGGAAGTTATATTATTAACATAAATTTTGTAAAAAAATGTAAATCATCTTGAGAAATTTATGTTAATATAACTTCCAAGTTACTAACATTTCGTTAGTAAAAAAGCACTGGTTAAGGAATTAGGGGGTGTCAGTTTGTGCATCAGTTTTGTCATCATCTTAATATGTTTTCTTGATCAAATCCCTAAACATTTCTGAGCCTTATTTTTTTTTAAAGACTTTTTTTATCGACAGAGGGAGACACAGCAAGAGAAGGAACACAAGCAGGGGGAGTGAGAGAAGGAGAAGCAGGCTCCCTGCTAAGCAGGGAGCCTGATGCAGGGCTCAATCCTAGGAACCTGGGATCATGACCTGAGTCAAAGGCAGATGCTTAACTGACTGACCCACCCAGGTGCCCATTATAATGAGGTTTATATGATTGCTAAGAGCCCTTCAAATTCTATGACATTTTTTATTGTGCAATTCAGACATTGCATTTTTCTCTTCTTCTATAAGAATATATGCTGATCAAGTCTGTACTACACACAGACACACACACATACACGACCACACATTAATGCTTACCTTATAAAGAGTTTGGATTTTTTTTTTTCTTTTTGGTCTATAGAGACTGATGTAGAACAGTTGACATATACTGCTGGAGGAGAAAAAATAATTGGTGAAATCAAGACACAACTTAAAAGTCACCCTGGTAAGAACAAGTATTTTTTAAGTCTAATATTTATGGTTTATGTAATTTTGGGGATTTAATTAGATATGGATCTTTAATGACAACAGTAATTATTTGTTATTATATGGGTAAAAATCTCCATGAATTTCCTCTTATAATTAAGTAAACTCTAGTAATTACTATCAATAGAACATTAGCTAGATATTATTAGTTTTAAAACATTTTTACAAAGTAAGCCATAAAATCCAGTGCTCTAGTGACCTTGGAAAATACTTGGTGTAATATTTCTTACTACTCTTCTACTCATTTCCTATTTCTGGTTTAGAAAGGAAAGTTGCTTTAAATTTGAAAAAGCGAAAAAGGCTAGTTGATGAGTTTTAGAAGAACATTATAACAGTTACTTCATTGGTTACCATATCCCTGCATATAAAGTTGGCATGTGGATTTACATCTCTACTAGAGTAGTTATGTAGCTGTGTTATATAATTCACAGAAAACACTACAGCTTCTGATCCTGGAGTAACAATTTTAGATACATTTCTCTCTCTCTCTTTTTTTAGAGAGAGAGGGAGAGTGTTCATGCACATGTGTACACGTGAGGGGAGAAGGGGTAGAGGGAGAGAGAATCTTAAACAGGTTCCATGCTCAGTGAAGAGCCCAATGTGGGGGGGGACCTCAATCTAATAACCCTGAAATCATGACCTGAGCTGAAATCAAGAGTCAGACACTGAACCACCTGAGCCACCCAGGTGACCAATACATTCCTCTTAGGTGCAAGAAATACTGTAGTCATGAATTTTTGCAGAAACGATGCTGAAATCTAGAATTCGGATATAGCTGAATCCTCACATAAAAGCAACAAAATAGGTGTTCTTAGTGAAATTTAAGATTAAAGCAAGATTTCTGAACCTTTGCTTTTGAATGCTTTATTTATTTAATTATATCAAAATTCTATTCCTGAAAAAAAAAAGTAGCTAAAAATAATCAAATATCTTCTCCTGTTTAGCAGGTTACCTTTAATTTTGTTTGATTGTTTCCTTCACTGTGCAGAAGCTTTTCATTTTGATGTATTAGCAATAGTTTTCATTTTGATGTACTAGCAATACTTCTTTGCTTCAGGAGACATATCTAGAAAAATGTTGCCTCATCCAATGTCAGAGACATTACTTCCTAAGCTCTCTTCTAGGATTTTTATGGTTTCAAGTCTCATATTTAAGTCTTTAATCCATTTTTAGTTCCATTTGGTACAAGATGGATGGAACTAGAGAGTATAATTCTAAGTGAAAAAGGTCAGAAAAAGACAAAATACCATGATTTCACTCATGTGGAATTCAAGAAACAAATGAGCAATGGGGAAAAAAGGAGAAAGAGAGAGACAAACCAAGTAACAGACTCTTAACTCTAGAGAACAAACTTATGGTTACCACAGGGGAGTAGGGTAGGAGGATGGGAGAAATAGGTGATGGGGATTAAGGAGTGTACTTGTAATGATGAACACAGTGTGATATATGGAATTGTTAAATTACTATATTGTATACCTGAAACCAACACTGTTAGTCAGTTATGTGAACTGGAATTAAAATAAAATTTTAAAAATGAATCAAAAATTATTTACTCAAAGAGCTTATAACTAAGGCGGTATAAAAATGAAATTGTTTGAATCAAGCAGTTAATTGATTTTGTGTCTTACTCTAACAAATCTGATAAATTGTGAAGAGTCACTTTTCCATCTTTAATCTTCAGACTATTTTTGTTTAGGTACTTTGAATTACTGTTTGCTTCAGTGTTCCTGATGAAGTATTCTCATCTACATTTAGTCATGTCCTTTAAAATACCATGTCCTTTAAGAACAAAATTAATTTAGTTACCTAATCTGTGTTTATTTATTGTTAATTTACAAATTCTCTATACAAAATTTAAGAGAAAATTTTACAAGGAAAAGAGTTGAAAGGAGTTTATAGATCATATACAGAAATTAATATTCACATTTAAGATAAAATGGGTTTGATTAAAGGTCAAGATTAAGGAAGATGTTATCTAAGAATACAGAAAAAAGGAGAGAAAATGAAGAATTTTATAGAAATTGGAATCATAGACAAGTGACCACTCAAATATGAAAAGATTACAAATGCAGAAATAAGGACTAATACATGGAGACTGGGGGGTATTATTTAAATAGTCATAATGTCTTTGTGAATTTTTTTTAAATTGTGTTTTCGGTGTGAATTTATTTAAAGACACTTATATGTCCCCAAAACATAAAGAAGATTTTTTTACCAGTGACATCACACCACGGAAAGTCTCAACAAACAGGATGAGTTTTTCATCTTTTGACAATCAAGGTAAAAGATACAGCAACGTAAAATAAGTACCTAATTATCTAGAATACTTTTTGTAGTATGCTTTTTCATTTTCCTTTTTATGAAATATTTTAAGCTTTCAGAAAATATGTAACACTAATATAAAAAATATAAAATTCTAATGGTTTCCATTCTGTGCTATTATAATCTCATTCCATTTTTATAATCTGTTATAATCTCATTCCATTTTTTTCTCAGTTCTTATGTATGCCATCATAAGCCATACATAATGTATTTCCTGAAATACTTGATTGTGCCCTCTTTTTTATTTTCTTTTATTGTGGAAAAATTACCTCTTGTATTCTCCCCAACTTCCCGCATTATTCTTATAGGTCAGTTAATTTTACAAAAATATGTACACCGTAAACACACACACACCCTATTTTTAGCAGGAATCTGCAAGTTAAATGTTTTTACTTCTTTTGGTTTTCCTGAGCATATTTTTATGTCATCTCAGCAATACTTTTTAAAATACATTCTTTTTAATCTAGCATTTTAGTTAGAAAGTTCATCTGAGGTAGCTAGTCTTCTGTACCACCTGCTTTCAAAATTATATTCAATTTTTAATACCAGGATATGCCAAAATATTTTCATTCAAATAATTTAGTCTTGATACTTTCATGAAAACATGATGAAGGATAAACATAAATTTGACAGTATAGGGTTATTACCTTAACATATATTAAGGATTTTATCTTTAATGACTTAAAAATCCTCCCCAGCTTTTACTTATATTTGACAAACGTGAAAGACTAGCTTGGAATTATGGCTTCTGAAATAAATCCTATCAACAGCATTTTATTTTTTCAATTACAGTCTCTTACTAAGCCTCTCAGCGTATGGCTTCAGTTTAATCTTTAGCCAATGATTAAATAATATGAGGCTTATAATTATTTGTTTTAATGGAAGTGTTCTTCAATAGCACATTACTTTTAAAATCAATAGGGTTTGTAAAAAAATTGATAAACAATTAAATTGGAGAGGGGGGAAACAGTGGTTTATGTATACAGCTCTAATTATCAAAGGTATCTTTATAAATGCATCCTTCTAAATGTAGAGTATAAGTCAAATACAGAAATGAATATTCTGGTTCAACTAAAACAGGATTTGGATAAGGAAAATTAAGGAAGATACTGAGAATAAAAAACTCTGTCTTACAGACAAAAACTGTGTATGCCAACGTCCATATCAGGTAAAAAAAAATAGTGAGGGCTTTGCTGCTAATTATTCTAATTTACCTCAGAAGAGGAAGAAGAGCTTTTGTACATTTACATTTGCAAATACTAAAAATACTACTGCATCAAAATGCTACAAAAGAAGAACCTTTCTCAATGAGAAGGGAGAACGATTTCTAAAAAGGACTTTGACATAATTGGATATATCAGAGAAATAAAAGTAGTAAGTGACATTTCCTATAAAATACTTGGCAAGAGAGAAAGAAGATTACAGTGATGACATCAATATTGTAGGAGATTTGTGTGGGTTTTTGTTTTGTTTTGTTTTATTTTTACCATCTACCCCCTGTGAAAAAGAGAACCAATTTGATGATTATCCACATATGGGAGAGGCTTTGTTGAAATCCAGGAGTTCAGCAGAGAAGTCCTAGCACACTGTTGGAACAACAACAAAATCTGAGATTAGATACACCGTAGAGGGTAAAAGGAACAGTTTGACTTTACCTACCCCACTCCTTCTTCAGGGCAGCATACTTCAGTGCAAAGAGAGCCCTTTTCATCCCAAGATATCTCCTGTGGGAAAAAGTGGGTATGTGAGTGAGTACCCAGCATGTGAGTGAGTATTGCCAAAAAACCCATTTTTCTCTTATGTCATCCAGAGAACTGAGTCATAAGTCACATGACTTAAAGTCAAAGAGTGGCTGAGATAACAGCCATCAAGGTTCAGAACCGAATGTGTAGAAGGGATGTAACTGCTAACTGTGTCAAAGGACTCTGGAGGCCCACACATCAGCTGCTGAAAACACTTCACCTGTGGATTCCCCAAAACTGGTCCACAGTCACCTCCAATACTCCATGTGTCTCACCCCCACAAAATCCACCTTGTGGCTGGCTGCCTCTGCATGCTCCCAACAGCAATAAGAGTGAACTTTGACAGACAGTAAACACCCCCAGAAAACTGTCCTGGAAGAAACCATAAACTTGAGCACTCAGCACTGCCATAAGGAAAACAAAAAGGAGACTCTCAGCAACCAACCTGTCTTGGCAGCACAGAAAGAAGGCTTAAGAATTCTGCCACCAAAACAAGCAAACAAAAAGCATGAAGTGTAGAGCAGGTATACCCATTGAATGGTCTGAAAAAACATCAGAATTCCTAGCAGGGCTGAAAGAAGAGATTTCTCTCTGGAAACCAGTCAGTTAACCTGGAGGAGGCGACTACTTTTTAAAATGCAATGAAAACAGAGAGAATGTCAAGGAACATTAAAAAAATCAAGGAAACATAATACCATGCAAGAAATACATTATTTTCCAATAGCCCCAATCTATTCCAAATAGATTTGCAATTTAACTGATAAGGAATTCAAAATAGGTGTTTTAAAGAAGCTCACTGAGCTACAAGAAAACACAAAAAGCCAGATCAACAGAAGCAAGAAAAGAATACACAAAATGAGAAGTTTAACAGAGGGATAGAGATCATAAAGCAGAATCAAACAAACTCCAGAGTCGATAGCCAATCCAGCAGGAGAAAATATTTGTAAAGTAAAAGACAGTATTAAAATTATACAAAGAAAATTAAAAATTAATGAAGACTATATGAACTATGGAACACCAATAATCTAACTAATATGTGAATGATTGGAATCACAGAAGAAGAAAATGGCAGAGCTTATGTAAAGAAATAATGCCTGAGAATTTCCCAAATCTGGGGAGATATTTGAATATCCAAATTCAAAAGCTAAGAAATTACTGCAAAGTTTCAATCCACAATAATATTTGCCAATACATAACATAATAAAACTGTCTAAAATCAAATACAAAGACAGAATTTTAAAAGCAGCAAGAGGAAAATTTTTTTTTTAAGATTTTATTTATTTGACAGAGACAGACATAGTGAGAGAGAAAACACAAGCAGGGGGAATGGGTGAGGGAGAAGCAGGCTTCCCGCTTGAGCAGGGAGCACAATGTGGGGCTCGATCCCAGGACCCTGGGATCATGACCTGAGCCAAAGGCAGACGCCCAATGACTGAGCCACCCAGGTACCCCAAGAGGAAAATATTTATCTCATACATGGGAATCCTCTCGAGCATTAGAAGCAATCTCTGCAAATACATTGCAGTCCAAAAAACAGTGAGATGATAGATTCAAGTGTTGAAAGAAACTCCCTAAAAAGAATACTTTACCACACTGAAAAGAAATTAAAAAAAAAAAAAAAAAAAAGGAATACTTTACCAGGCAAAGTTGTCCACCAGAAATGAAGGTGAAATAAGACTCAAAAAGAAATAGAGGCTAAGTGAGTTCATCACTACTGGAACTGCCTTATAAGAAATCCTGGAAGTTCTTCAAGCTGAAATGAAAGGACACTAATTGTCTTGTGATATTTAAACATACAGCACACTAGTAAAGACAAATTATAGTTAAATTCAGAATACTCTAATACTGCAGTACGATAACATATTAACTACCATAAAGGTTAAAGGAGAAAAGTATTAAAAATAACTACAGCTACAGTAATTTGTTAATGAATATGCAAAATAAACAAAGGTAAATTATGACATCAGAAACATAAAAGGTGGGAGGAGGGAGTGGTATATCAAAATTGTAACATGGGTCATTCCTGACCGTACTCCCCCAAACAAGAAGAAAAACTGAAACCTATTCATGGACAGACACCCTTGAGAAAAATCTTAGAACATTAGGATAAAGCTGAAGCACCCCCTCTCCACATCATAGAGACCAAGACAGACTGCATTAGAGAGGTAGGAGAAGTGGCTACACATTGACCATATTGCCCCTCCCCCATGCCCATTGGAGCTCCACACTGTGAGATTTCCCCCGGGCCCCCAGTTGGAAAAAAGAACCTGGGTGGGACATCTGGCTCCTCTAGCATTGTGTGTCATCTCTTGTGAGCCCCCACTTGGTCTCACACCATGGGGACTATGGGGTAATCCATGGGACTTGACCACTGGGAATCTATGACAGGGAAGGAAGGAAGTGCTTGCAAAAACCAACACTCAGACCTTGACAGACTGAGTTCCTACTTGCAGTACCAAAAGTAGTAGTCCCAACTAGCAGGTTTGCTTATCTGCAGAGACAAGACGGTGGCATAATCTCACCAGGAAATGTGGTGAGGTTCAGGTCTGTATGATTTGAGTTTTGAAAAAAAGAGTCTTGCTAGCCCTGGAGCTTGGTCTACTACTGCTCAGATAGCAGAGCTAAGTGAGCATTGTTCACTATTGAGTGTATCTCCTTGCACTAACTGACCAAGAAGACTGGTAGAACACCTGGAAGCTGTGTGGCCCAACACCAGTTGAGTAGATTACAGCAGACGGGGCTGGTTATCTGCAGAGCAAAGCCAGTGGTACCATTTGGCCAGATTATGGGGACCAAGTTAACTAGAGTCAAGATCACAAAGAGCCTTGATGGACTTGGAGTCAGATTCCCTATTTTTCCCAGGCAAAGGAACTAAATTGTAGCCATACCAACTGCTGTACCAACTGGAAAGCCTGATTGGGAACACCAGGGAGGCTACTTGAGGCTAGCCTGCCCATTCTGCCTTGGCAGGGAGCTCATTCACATAGCCTCACCCACTGCTGAGTACAGCTCCTGGCCCAGCCTAACCAGAAAGCCTAAACAGAATAGCTAGAGGCTCTATAGCCCACAAACACTTGAACAGAGAATACAACAGGCAGAACTGGTCTTTGGCAGAGCAAAACCAGTGGCCCTATTTGGCCAGGGAAATGCGCACAGGATTGCCACCTCTGAAGCCAGCTCTCCTGCTCCACTCAGACAGGAAAACTAATTCTTTGC